TGGATACGCGCCTGTTGTAGTTTATATAGATATAAAATAAAAACCCATTGTTAAAGATAGACATTAATTCACATTATTATATCTTACTGGACTACAATAAGGGTTTACTACTGGGTTTTAAAGTTTTAAGATCAATCAAAAATTTAAAAGTTAAATATATGGTACGATGAATTTTTTCCAGCAGAATTAAAAAATGTATAGTTTTGTGGAAAGCAAAATGGTAGTATAAAATATTAATACCAATAATGACAATTGACAATAGAATATAAATAATAATTGAAGTATCTATTGTTGTTGCATACTCGCATCATTAATTATAAATTATTTTAAAATAATATGAAAATGTAGGAKGAGGAGTTGTATTACGTAATCCAATAATCAATGAAAAATAAAAATGTTAACACGTAAATTCATTATAAAAATGGTTTTATTAATTCGTGATATTTTTATTATATTTTACCATTTGAAAATCAAAAGTTGATAGTGGTTTCACCAATAAATATTAAGGAGAAAATAATTAAAATAAACATATATCATACGGGTTTTAGAAAAACATAAACCTAGAAGATTAAAAAAAAAAAATCCAAAAAAAGTTAATACTTTTTAAGATAATTAATGCACACACCTAAATGGATCAACCTGTATAAGGTAGGTGCTACTGATTATATTACTACACTTAGCACTTATATCAACGTAGTACGTATAAAACCGCCGGAAAATGCTCTAAATAAAAATCATTATTTATAAATATCGAAATAACCACAAGAATGTTTTTAAGACTATATTTTAAAACACCAAAAACTAATTGATATTGCATCAAAATCCCAGTCCCAGACATTATAATACATTAAATAATTTTTTTTAAATAAAAATTTCTGGAAGGTCACTCTCACTAATTAATAATTGTACAATATTTCAACTTTCGGAAAATATATTGTCATTGAATAGCCAATAGGACAACAGCTGTAATGGATATGTAAATTTTAATTCATAAATAATCGTAAAAAATAAGAATTACGATTCTGAGAGTAGACGGTGTGTAATGTACTAATGTGTATAGAAGATAGAACCCGACTTATGTCCACCAAAAATTGAGCATAACATATCGTATACTCTTCCCCTTAGTGCGACACCAACTTTTATCGGCGTGTCCAGTGGTTAAACTGGGGGGAATACGGGGGCGGAATGTCATCTCACCACTTTTTATAATTTTCATATTGTACACTCCACTGACCACTTACTTAATCGAAAATAATACATCTCTGTTATAATTTATTATACACAAATAATATTTTTATTTTTACGATTGTTTTTTTAAAACTAGTTCACAATACAATAAGTACACTGTGAACACCGATGGTAATCAGGTAGAGTATGTACTGCGTCTAAATTAAATTTATTAGAATTAATAAACCCAAACGTGATTTCTTACAATTTTATGATTATATAAGAAGTTAATATATTACCTTTTGTCCTTTTCGGTGTGTAGAGGTTAAGATACAACCTTTTTTGATTAATTTTATACAAGTTAATAAATAGGTATACAATTTGTACCCMAAAAAAAGTTTAACTTTTAATTTTTTTTATACTTTCTTTATTATGCATACTATTAGAATCTATAAGTTATATGCGCATCAATATTTCAAGCGTAATGTATCATGTACATTTAATTTTAATAGTTTAACATTTATACAACGTAAAATATGTAATATTTGTTATGATTTAATTTTAGCATTGGGGGTACTTTAGTAGGTAGAAGTACAACTGTAGAAAACACCAAGCTAGAATACTAAAATATGCTATATGTATTTATATAAAATTGTATTATAAAAAGAAATGTGCATTACACTAATCCTCTGCTCTAGTCCTCAAAGGTGTGTAAGTAAAATGTATGACGTATAAGACATTTATAATATGAGAATTATAGCCTAAAGGTAATAACATACCAAGGTCATCACTCTAATTATTTTTAGCCACTTCAACCACACCGTGTCTTGATTTTTGTGGACGATAAGGTATGTCTATAGCTCAATCGAATCAGTTCATAGATAAATCAGCATCGGTATAGCAGGTACCTAGTAATTAGGAATCACTATTAAATAATTATATTAGTTTTTTGAATCACTATAGGTAATTGAAAAAAAATAGTTATTATTTTATTGATATTTTTAATGTAATTTAATTTCTGCAGTGTTAAGGAGGGCCTCCGTCACTTATAATCCCAGCCAGCTACTTGGTTGGTCTTATAGCTCACGTGCAGTATGTATTTATCAGGATACTGTAAAAATGTTTGGATATAACGATCTGATTCTCTAGGACCCCTGAAGATCGTTATAAGCAAATTTTACTGTAATTGTAATTATCCCTGATTTAGGGTCCTAATTCATTTTTTTTTTAGCCTTAATGAGGACCGGACATAACAATTTCAACTTCCTTACGCACTCTCCAATTATCTGATGATTGAAGAAATCTATTGAAAAATATTACTTTCCTAGCTCGATGACGAAAATTTAATTATTAACGAATATGTTATTTATTTGCCTGTTCTAATTTAGCAATTAGTTTTGGTATTACTTAGATATTGTCGATTGATAATTTTGTAGGTTAAAAATTGTGATCCAAGTTCTAGATGTTTGCTTATACAACACGTGTCGCATAGTGTCCTTGTGAGAGATATACGAAATAATATTGTGTTAAGCTTATTTGACCGTAAAAGTGTGATATGATCATTATTAGGGTTAGGATGTTTATGACCTTAAAAACACTAAAAAATGCATGCAAATATGCACAATAAATATCAAAATATGACCTTAAAAATAATCCGATTTCTAATCCGAAATGTATTTTAAAATAATTTACAACTTTTTTTATAACTTTAAACTTAAATACAAATATATAAAAATATGATACTTTGWAATTAAAAACTTTGGTACTTACAGTAAATTAATATTTTATTAAGAAAGTTATAAAGATAAGTTAATTATATACTACGGGTTTCATATTTTCTAATTTTCGTTAAATGTGAAACTGACTATGCCTACTTATGGGTTTTTATTGAGGTTTATATTGTATTTAAGTTATTTATTGGCGAAATATGCATTTATTTACAATTTTTTTCAAAATATGCATTTATTCATAAAAATCCCTAAATATGCAAAATAAAATGAATGTATCTGATTCTATGTCGCACAAAACAAATTTATAACTTGGTCTGCAAAGTGCACGACTAAAAGAAAAAATATGCAAAAGTCATAAACATCCTAACTCTAATCATTATCATATAAATTATTTAAAACTGTGATATATTATTATACAGTCACAATACCTATTGTAGAAGTTCCCTAACACTGTTCACATTAATTGGTGAAAAAACGTTCATGCGGGCATTACACCTAACCTAACCTTGGTCACCAGATCTGAACGGATGACATTTCACATTTGCCACTTTAGTTACAGTAGCAGTGTGCTAACTACACAATTGATGAGAGAACTCAGGCTTTAGGAACGTGTCATTGCCCCCTTTTTCAAAAATGAAAACTCAACATTTTACGTACCCAGAACTAGAAAAATGTTAATCATAAAAAGATACAGAGATTCTCTACAACATTTATGTAAAAACCTAAGCAATAGAATGGTATCAGAAAAATGAAGTTAATAAGTCATGAAGAAAAACTCACCGAGATAGTTCATGTAAACAAAAACTCATAAAGGCAAAAGCAGAAAGAACTTACTCTTAATTCCTTAGTAACTACTAAATAAAATTATCACTTTTACACCTCTATAGTTTAGAATTAAGTGCATCAACTTTGTTTAATAATACTGCCGCAAAGAATAGTCAAATCCTCAATAGTACGAGGATACTAACATTTTTAGATTTAAATTTCTTCTCACATAATTAAATTTATAATCTACTTAGCAACAAATCCAAACAATGGAAAAAAGTTGCAAATGCAACAACACCTTAGCCCAAGTAATATGTATCATCCAACTTGTAAGTAATTGTAAATTTGTTTCAAGATTTAAAAATTTTAAAAAAAGTATGATATGAAAGAACTTGATAAGGATTAAATAAAAAATAAAAAATTAGTAATAATTGTATTTATAGGTTATATAAAAATACATCACATTATTTTATAATGTATTTCATTATTTTACTTAAATGTATTTCAAAATGATTCTAAATTTTGTTTTCAATTTAGTCGTTTCATTAACACACATAATAAATAAATCTTAACAATTTTAATTCTATGTATTCGTGTAAGTAGAGACAGACAATTAATATAAACCAAAAATATAAAATCTGTTCAGTATTAATCTACATTAAAATTATAATTAGTTAACATGATACCAAAAAACTTTCAAGTAAAATTTATTAGAGTAAATCAAACTTTTTATGAGATAAAATTAATTAAATTGAGGGTAAAATTGTTTTTTGAAGAACTATACACATTCATGCTTAAAAAATTGTTTCTTTTATAATCATTGGTTACCGAAACTGATTTATTGACAACACATAAGTGACATAAAACATAATATAATGATACAATGTTTTACATAGTATCATGAATTCCTAAACGAAAGATGTCATGGGCACAATAGAAAKTACTACCTACTGATTTTAATACAAATACTTGATTGAATGGATGAGGCGGATCTTCATCACACTAGAAATAAATTGTCAATTAATTATAAGTTTTACTAAAATAAATAAATATTTTTTACCTGTAAACGACCTAAGACATTGATTAATATACCACCATCAAACATTGGCTGCGAGTCCACAGATGTTACAACTCTATTGATTTTTTGGAAAGTTAAACTCTAAAAAAGTATATAAATATATATATTCCTACAGTAAAATTAAATACATATTTAAAAATATTATTTTTAAAAGATAGCTACTTCATAAAAACAAACTAATAAAAATGTATGATAAACTTTAATGATAATTTAATTTAATTTAAAATATACTCTATAGCCCAAAGTGCCCTAGGTCAACATTGGTATCTAAGTGTAATAAAATGTAAAAAAAAAAAACTATAAAACAGCTGAAGATTATTGAATGAATATTTAAATAAGCAAAAATGTACCAATGCTCATATTAACATCCTTATATTATCTGAATATCTATATGTTTCAAAATTGAAGTAAATTAGGTACATATGTTTATTCATTAAAAGTAAATTCACTAATCATGTCACTCTGATGCAAGTATGACAGGAATAGATAAGAAATGTCTGAATAATATTATCTTAAGAAAAGAGTTTCAAAACATGCATAATACCATTAAGTTTCCTATAAATCCAATATTTTTTTATGCACAATTGCAATTTATTTTATCATTTATTTTATTGAATGTCAATTAATAAATAACAATCAAGAATAAAATACTGAATTACATTACCCTAAAATGGGTTAAAATACATACATGTTTTGGGTTGGGTACAAATATTCTGATTTACTGACTTGAACCGCCAATTTTACGAAGCGTTTTTGTTGTCATGGTTACTTATTAACGAAAACATATTTATGATTTATGAATCATAAATAGGTATGATGATAATCATAAATTTCCCGTTAAGGAAAAATATCCAGTAGCATACTACATTTCATCATAAGTTACCTAAATTAGTTTTTTTTTTTAAATAATTTTAATGTATTTTATATATTTTCAATAGACAGTAAATTATGCTTACAAGTTTACTATAGTTAGTAGATATTTTGTACAAAAATTGGGTTGAATAATTGTTAGACAATAATTAATTCATGTTATCAATAGTTTCACACAACCTTAAGACATAGAAATTTGTTGATTTCACTCACATTTAATTTTTCCATTATTTTAACTGTACCCTGTAGTTGAACCCCTTCAAAAGTCATAAAAGATGTTTCCGGCTGTAACAAAAACAAACATAATCGCGKTGTGAATAATTAAACTTCGAACGCCGTGAGAATTGAGAATCGAAAGTTATATACTATAATGGTAATTAATGATAAGTTACTGAGTAACAAGTAGTAAGTAGACATAACACCACGTTTAAAACAACACTCACGTTATACATGGCAGCCAGTGAAGGCCTCTGGGATGGGTCATCAAATAGCACGTAATATTGTTGTACGAACCCCTTTCCAATAGCCTCATAAGCTGGATTCAAAGACATATTGTAAGCGTAATTGAACGGCAGTTATTATTTTCAATTTTGAGCCCGACAAGTAAAAACGTGAAAAATTCATCCGCAAGTTGTGAGACGTGAGTACAAGCAAAGCCGCACAGGCCACAGAATACGGATAGACGTTAATTTTTTTTTCTCATACCAAGGTTGTGGTTAACAGATAACGTGTGATGATTAAGAACAGTATAYGCAAAAAGCGGGAAGATTTGATTTGCCTTTTTTTGCATCTTATAAAAGTCATTAGTTACTACAAAAATTATTTCCATTCGCATTGACGATCAAATACACAACTAATAACTATGAATTATAGATAAATTATAGAGGAACATAGCTGAGATAAGGATAATTTAGGAATTAAAAAGTGGAATTTTCCCAAATGTAATGTGAAAAATGTAAACTAGGCCTCTGATTTTTAAATTAAAGTAATAATGCATAACGAGTCCCAAGATGCTTTTGTTTTTCAATTTCCATTACCTTCCAAACATTTTTTTTATTTTTTTCGTTATTATAAAAATCTTAACATTAATTAGGTATACATTATATAAACAATTTTTTTTATACTTATAATATTTATTTTTTTATAAAACTATTAAGTTTTAATTATAAAGCCATGATTATTTTGCATGGATATTTTAAGTACATTTTTAGTGCCACAAGTCCACATTCATACTTCACAATTTATGTGTATATATGTATAACAATAGTCAATAGTCAATATCTATTATGCAGGTTCTTATAATGTCCAATTAAGTGTCTGTTAACATTAATCGGACTTTATAAGAACTGCCTTAGCTGTATTGCTGTATAAGCTTAGATATTTCACAACATTCATTTAATAATGAATTAATTCAAATTCTGATGTTTGGAGTATTTAAAGTATATAGGTGTATATAGAATTAAACACCAATGTCCAATACACAATATATTTTAAATTTTAAAGTAGGTATTTGCGATTTTTTGTGACTCCTACTTTTAAGGAATGTCCGTGGCAATAAAACTTGTGTTTTGTTTTTCAAATTAAAACGCTGCCTTTTTCATTAAAAATTATTTATTGGATAATTTTTTCAAAATTTTGATGTGCTGTTTTTTAAAAAATATCGACAGTGCTTCCTTATTTAAAATCTGATTAAATTCCTTAAAAATGGATTCTAAAAATATATAATATTGATTCTATGATAGTGTTTATGCGTTTATGGACTGTGTTTACTACAATTGTTGAGGGATAAATAAAATTTTAAAAATTTAAAAATAAAATATTAATTCTTAAGTCAATAGCACCCATATTTTTTTAATTCATTAATTATTATTTATTACCTAATTATCATGGACTTATTATCTCTAGATCTTAGTATAAGAAGTTGAATAATTAAAAAACTACTCGTTTGAATTTTTATTTCGATTAGTTATTTTTTTTTAGAATAGTTATCCATTAATAATTTACAGTAAAAAGGAGTGATCTCATTTTGAGAATCAGAAGTCATTTATCATAACTATCTTAACTCAATAACTTTGTTATGCTAAATTTAAGAGTGAATTGACCGATCACCTTTAGAAGTTAGAATATTATCAAGTCAATAATATAGGTTTAATTTCAAAATAAATTATATAAATTTTATATCAAGTTACAAGAAATTTTTAATTATTAAATTGTTTGATAAATTGTGAATTGGATATTTGGATGATAATTGATAATTAATGTGATATGATATAGGGTTATAAATTACTATCAGATACTTGATTTGACTTAAATCTCGGTTGATAACATGTTTTTCAGTTATTTATTATTTTTTTTCCTACATTTCTACTAAGATGACTATTGACTACGTAGTAAATAGAGTTAATAAAATATGTCAATTTCAATGATATAAGTAAACTTTATAGGCTATAGTGCTATATTACCATACATCACTTATATTTTTTTTGTGTTTAAAAAATGTTCATATTTTCAATTTCGTTTAAGTGATTTATGTATTTTATTGTAAAATATTCCTCTACAACTAAAACTGAGTTTTATGTTACTACAAATTTAAGTTATGTCTCATTCTAAATCTAATACAACTTTCATAATTTTTAAAGCTTATTCGGAAGAAAAAGAGCCAGTAGATCCATACTTAAATATTTTAAAAGATCAAGGATATGAAACTCAGTTAGTTCCCACTTTGGAATTTGAGTATCATAACTTTGATACGCTTAATCACAAACTACAAAAACCACAAGATTATTCTGGTTAGYATGATTTTTTATTATTATTTATATTACCTCTGTTTTTTCTGATGATTTTAAAATAATTTTAAGTTATCATGATTGTAAATTTTTTTAGTCTACTTACCAATCTAAACTAATTTCTAATTTCTATATTTTATCAGGTAAATCAAGATTAATTTGTTTAAAAGTTCTGAATTATTTTTACAAATATTTAAATGTACATTTGTTTTGAAAAAGTACCCATACAATTATTTACCACAATAATTCACTATTAATATTTTTTAATTATTATGTTTGATTTAGGTATGGTTATAACTAGTCCAAGATGTGCAAGAGGAGTCATTAAGAGTTTGGCCAGTAGTAAGCTAGATGAAAATTGGCAGAAAAAACCTATATTTGTTGTTGGAGAAGCAACAGCTCGACTTATAAACAAAGAACTCGGCCTTGAGCCAATTGGGGCTGATAGTGGCAATGCTACGGCTTTAATACCTACTATTTTAAAATGTACAGTATTATAAAAAAATAACAGTACTGGTCTAGTTGATCCCAACCAAGAAAGTATTACCTCGTCATTTAATTTTAGTTGACATCTACCATTTATATCTCGTGTTTTTGATATTTTAATAATTTCTTAAAAATGTATATACTGTAAATAAAAAAGGTATGAAAAAAATATATGTTTGGTATTTATGTAAAATTATGTAAAATTCTCTAATTAGATATTTTAAGAATAATGTCTGTTGAAATGTTTGTAGTAAAATGAATGATATGTTGTAAGTATAACAGTGGTAACTGTACATAAAATATAATGGTATAATATCTACCTCAGTTATTCAGTCGTCATCATCATTAAAATATATGTATTATACTGAAAATACTGTATTACTAATGTAAAACCTTTTTTTGCTGCAATATATACATTTTATAACAAATAATTAAAACATTATAAACACAAGAGATGTAAGGGTAGGGCCACACATGGCGGCTGAGCCGTAGCGGTTGAACTGCCTAACAAATTTAAATTATTTGATTTTAAATGCAACCGCCTGATAGGCGATCACACTTTCGCGGAAACAGTCCCAGTTGAAATATAGATCACTCATGATTCCACCGCCCAAATGATCAAAACGCATTGTTTTGAATTAGTCTGTTCACACATATTTGACGTAGTTCATTTTTTCAAAGTTTAAATGTAAAAAATAATTCCAATTGTGAGGCCTAAAGTTGTTGGTAACTTTTATCTCATTTTGAAACTTTGAATAATATAATCATAATATTATGTAGTTGTCATCAAGAAAAAAACTAGATAAATATTTTATTACTACATAAATTAATAAAATATATACGTGTGTAGAAATAAAATGGATGATAAATTGAAGATTAAAAATTATGTATTGGATGAAGTGTTCTTTAGAAGGTATATACTTTCAAATTATGTTTATAAGCAAATGTGATCTAGGGCCACGAATAGTATCCTGTATTTGAACCCAATTATAATTATAATCAACTCCGGAGACTAGAAATAGGTAAGGTAGGTAGGAAATTTTATAAAATTTAAAATTGCCTCACTTAGTAATACAGTTGAAGATATTCTTTAAATATATTTTTCATTACAATCATTTCAACTATAATTTATGATACTATAGTTATTAGTTAGTTTCAAGTTGTTAAAAAACCAATGCTTTTATTAAAAAATTATATTTTTAAATATTTTTTATCCTTATCATTTTTTAAGKTTTTTACTTTTTTGAATGGCAACATAGTTTTTTAATYTCATATTCTAAAACAGAATATTTTTCTAAATATTTTGATTCATAAAAATCGAATTTAGGACGAGTAGTTTATGAGTTATAAGTATTTTAAGTTTAGACAAGCAGAGTAGTTGACAAACATTTTGCGGGGTAACCCCGTACCACTCTACATTGCCAATCTAAACTTTAAATACCTATAACTCATAAACTACTAGCGCTAAATTCGAAATTTTAACGTAATAATTAATAAAAAAATAGCTTTATTAATTTATGAAATTTTAAGTATAGATTACCATTTGAAAATAGTTGATACCTAGTGGTTTATCTAATAAATATAAGGGTGAAAAATATAAAAAAAAATCAACAATTCAAGAAAAGTGTAAATCTACAATTTTGGAAAAAAAAAAGTCAATACTTTTTGAAAAAATTAGTGTTGTTAGATAAATTAATCACCCTGTATATTAATATACAATAATACATTATTTATATGGCTATATGTTTAATTTTGTTAGTTCATTGAATTTAACGATTTTTTTGACATCAAAAATATATACCTACCTACTATTGACTATTTTATTTGACTGTTATTATTACTATGAAATATTAATTATTTCTATATTGACCTATTGACAATTTTATTTTTATGTTTAAGTCGTTTTTAGTAAATTTACTTGGTTATTTTGTGTTGAAGACACTCAGACGACTAAGTTTTATAGTATTCTTATAGCTTTTCATTCATCCAATAAATATTCTTGATAAAACCGCAAGTGGTTTGACCGCGTATATGTGTACGGTATCCGGGCGGCTGAACCATTCACGGTCCAATCACTGCGGTTCAGATGCCATGTGTGGCCCTACCCTAAATGGCGGGTTCCATCTAAATCTGATGGCGAGGATGATCTAGACCAGTATACATAAGTATTTTTGTTATTATTAATTCGTATTTTTCATTTTTAGATGAATTAAGTAAGCCATTATTAGCTCCATGTGGAAATTTAAACTTAAATATACTATCAGATAATATAAAAACTGTTAAATTTGAGAATGTAGAAGTTTACCGAACTATACCGCATAATAATTTAAAGACAAATTTAAATATGGTGTTGAATCAAATTAAAGGCCAAATAGGAGTTATTTTTTTTAGTCCTTCTGGTTTTCGCGCAATAGTAGATCTGATGCCAAAAGAATTATTTAGTCAATTACATGTGAGTATAAGAGTAAAGCCTTTATAAAGAATTTGAATACAAGATAAAATTATTTATTTATCTCATTATAAACATTTAGTTATTAATATTGTTTGATATTTATCAGTTTTTAATAATTTTAAACATTTAGATTATTAAAAATATGACGTGGAAACTTATGATAACCAAAATAATATTTGAACAAGAATAAATACTTTTGTAAAACTCCTCCAAGCATAAAATATAATATAATATGCTGAGATGGTTTAAACGCATTACTTACATTATTATTCATTTATGAAATTTAAAAATACATTAGTGTTGAATGTTTTGTCGAAATTAGTGGTGTTTATGGTGTTACTTAGAGAGGAGATTTTTGACCAGCCGATATAATTGAACAAAAAAAAAAAACGGCTTTGCTGGCTTCCAATTATATTTTTACCCTAATTTTATTGCCATGTCATGCATTTCAGAGGCAAATATATCCTCATTTTAAAGTGGAAGCACTAAATAATCATGGTGTTTATCTCAATAGTGTTTTGCCCATATAAGTTGTTTCCGTCAAGCAAATTTGTGTTTAACAGTTTTCATTTAGCTTTGTCAGTTTTAATATTAAAGTGAATTCACCTGTTACTTGAGGATAACAATATTTTCTATGGTTCATTGAAATTCAGTTTTTGATATTTTTATTTGAAATTTGTCTAAAGTTTTAAGAGCTTAAAATATTAAAATTTAAAAAATGCTGATAATACACCTTAAAATAAGAAAATCACAAAAAATATTTATTTAAAAAAAAAAGTAGTTAACCCAGAGGTATTCAATCTGTGCATCACGGCTCCCAGGGGTATTATGAGAGTTAGCGTATAGAGCATCAAAACACTAGAGACCAATATTAATTTAGGTGTTATATAATTATTTTAAGTATTATTTGTAATCATCAGGACTCATAAGTTCACGCATTTGCATATCAATCTTGCCAAGTTTTATTTAATGCTAGATGACATAGAAATCCATTTCAAGGTACCCAGTTAAATATGTGAAGTCTGATTTTTCATGTTTTTGCCTATTTAGCATATTTATGTAGATTTTTATTTTATCAGGCATATTATACATGATTTTGATATTCCTATTTATATTATTATATCAATATGCTTTTTTTAAATGAAAATACTATGAAAAAATTAAAATTTGTTGAATTAAAAACTCAATCATTTATTATTTTTCATTTTAATTGTGATGTATAAAATAAAATATAATTTTAAAAAGTGAATGAATTATTCATGTTATTTAAAAATTGTTTATGATTTTTTTTAAGCTAGMATTTTCTAAATGCATATTTTTAAAACTTTTTAAGGCATATTTTAATGCATATTTTGCTAATTTCGATTGCATAAATGCATGCTTATTTGAGCATTTTTTAGGGCATGAACTTAYGAGCCCTGGTAATCATTATGGAAACAATTACGAAACCCATCAACTGACTATTTGAAGTTTTATTTCTAGTACTAAAATTACTGTTATTATCATTCATATTGGCCATATTGTATTTGTCTGGCCTGTTGTTAAACATTTTTCATAATTGAGAGCCATCAAAATATTATGAACACAAAAAGGAGCCCCTAAGTGAAAAATTTGAATACCTCTAAGTTAGCATAAGTACAATTAATAGAGCTAAATGAGAATTGACAACTAAGAAACTAATCATTCTGTGTTATGCATTGGAAAGCCAGAAACAACGCATATGTACATCATAATTCATAATATATGTCTTGTAAAAATTATTAAATTGGTTAAGATTATAATAGCAAGAATTGTTTGACTTAGTGACCAAATATTATTCTTATTATAGATAGACAACACTAATTACATTTATTAATTCATAATAGTAAGCAAAACACTAACACTGTTTTAATTTATTTTTRTGATCTCTGTGTGATAACAATGTAGTTCAGTAATTATAAATCATAATATAATAAAATTGTTTTTAATCAATATTAATTTTAATTTTTACAGATTTTTGCTATTGGTCCCACCACAGGTGCTGCTATTGAGGAAGCTGGTTATATTTTAACTGGTTCATGTGAAAAACCAAAACCAGAGTCTATGTTAGAGATGATACAGTCATTTATTAAATAATACTATACTAATAACTGATTTATCAAAATTAATATATAACAAAAATTTACAAAATAAATAATATATCCTATATAACAGAAAATATAATTTAGTTACTGACAAACAATTTTATGTTCATCCCAATTGGTTACTTGGCATTTCCTGAAAACATAATGGTTATTTATTTAAAAAAAAAAGTTATTTAAATTTTTTTTTATCATTACCGGCTACAATACCATTGATTTTTGCACTTAGAACACCTTTTTTTTGCTGGTTTTCTACAATAAGCACAAATATTTTCTTTAGCCTCAAAATGATCAATATTTTCATATGTTTCACTCAATCTGAAAAAAATAACGGGGAAGTAGCTATGCTATATTAATATATATTAGTATTGAGTATTGAGTCACTATAATAGATGTGTTACATTTAACCTAAATAATAAATCATTGTATAAAAACTTAGTACGAATAAAAATTCTAAGTAGTGTTATATATATTATCAATATAGACCATTTAGGTATTTATGAAATAACTCTACAAATTTTGTCTACATTTGAAGTATATGTAAGGATAATTTGTTTTTTTTTCCAGATTATGAGTACATGTAATATTTAGTTGACTCCCCAAATTCAAACAAGACCTAATTTTCAATCAGAAACAGAAGAAAGCCAAATCTCCACTAAAATTAGTGTCTTCAGAAAAAAAAAAAAAAAATAACATTCTAAAACCAAAACAATTATTTGTTCTACTCAGAATCTAAAAGTGAAAAGAAATGTAGGTTCAAACAATAATCCTCTATATTCATACTTAAAAAAGGGTTATTAGTTATTACATTTCATAAATTAAAATAAATTGTATGATACTTACGATTTAGCTACATCATATGAATCATTTCCAAACAAATAAGCTACTTGAGTTCTAGCAATTTTTTTCCATTGTTTTGCATAAGTATTTAGAATAGTAGTCCTTATCTAGTTAAATGAAATATAATTCTAATATTAACTTTTTTATGGTATACTTTAAATAGTTTTAAAAGTATTATGTTTTATTTAAATTCAACAGGTCTGGTAAGGTCATGCACTTGTATATCAATCCTCCTATGTTATTTTGAATGCTAGATGTAGACATTTGTATCTTGAGAATTCACATATCCAATTTTTCATACAATATTATATAATTAAATATATTGAGGTTTTCAGTGTATTTTTTTTATTTAAAAAGCATTTAAAATTTAAGATTATTTTTTTTTAAAGTTATTAATAATAATCTATTTTATACTTTTGAAAATTATCCAAATGTTTAATGACCATTAGTCAGTACCTGATATACCTGACCTATATTAATAATTCATAATCATAAACAAACTCAGTTGAATCGAGTTTCAAAATCTTAGGATTAACTTCGCACTAAAATAATATAATGTTTTTTTCAAATTATGAGGTTTTATTTCATAATTAAACGTTTTTTCTCTGCATATTCAACGATTTTAATATCACTATAAGTCTTTTCAAACATTTTTAGTGCATGAACTTATAAGCCCTGCTATTTAAAATGTCTTACTTCAGCATTTAATTCTATAATTAGAGGTCGTTTGAGCAGTGTTGAAACTTCTGTTAAACTCAATTGATATAAACATTGTCTTAAGTGTATCAATGGAGGAATTTGATCCAGAAGGCAATCATTGAGTAAATGTTGTAACTAATAAAATATCAAAGAATATCATTAAATGGATAAGATATATAATATTATAAATATTAATTAATTAAATTCACAAAATTTTATTGGGTATTACTCGTTTTCGTCAAAACAATATTGGCCATTTCCACCACATCCCTTTTTCACCCCAAAAAAAAAAATTGGAAACCATAATGATTTTAATATAATATAATATTATGTATTTGTGTAGGTAGTATTACCATTACTAGTATGCATTACATATTAACATGMTTTTGTAACTATTGTAAGTATATAATTTTTAATAGATAATTGCRAAGACCATGGGTGTACATGTACAAGGTACAACAATATCAATAGCGTCCGCATAAATATAAAGTGTTGGAGGAGGGCAAAGAAAAAAAGCTGGTTAATTAGTGGATATCGATCTGCTGTAGGGACATTAGGTTAAAAGTGGGTTGCTGTAATGGATGGTATTAAATTAGAATTCAATGATATAATATCGCATTATGTACGAAAAACGATTCGTCAGTCTAGGATATGTTATACTAAAGATATTAATATTGTCAAATCAGATTCATTATGTACCTGATTCAGTCATTCATAGTGGGTTTATAAAATTAATTATAAAGTATTAAAATAAGTTATTAACAAATAACGACATTAACTATTAATATTAGAATATAAATTATACTCTAGAAATGTAAGTACCCACGACTAATATTTTTAAATTATAACAATATATCTAAAATTGTTATTCTTGATTATTTAATATGTAATTTCATCCAAATTTGAACTTGAAATAACTATAAAAAGAACTGTGTTTGTACAGTTTTTAGTTTTTTTTTGTACCAGAATTAACTACTTACGTGGAACTTTGTTTTAAATTTTCAATCCTTAGCTAGAAAATTCAAACGTTTTATAAAGTTACAACAATAAAGTCAATAATAACGACTAAAGAATTTGTAAATTTTCAATTACATACATTTTCTCAAAATTTGAACTTTAAATGGTTATAAAATAAACGTGCTGATGTATTTTTAATATTTTCTGTTTATCAACTTATGGGGAAACTTGTATTCAATTTTCAAATTTTTAACCCAATAACAGATAAAATTTTATTAACATTTATAGAATAAAAAACTAAAAAAAACGTAAAATTTCAAAAGTCTATAAATAATTAAATTATTGTATCAAGCATAGGAATTAATAAAATAAACATAATATGATGTAAATATCAAGTATCTACAGTTATTCTTTTTTTAATAACAACAAAATAAGAATATCGGTATAATAGAGAAATTGAGTGAATGTTGTAATTCAAATGCTCATACAAATTTAATTTGGTTTTTTGGTAGACATATTTTGGTAGGTACTAGTTGACCCCCGCACAGAAGCCAATTCCCCCGCAACTCAGGTTTGGTTGACCGCTACTTACATCTCTCGTATTTTCGATGTTATAAAATGTTAGACTTATATAGACTGCAGAAAAAAAAGGTACGAGATCATATACCACTATATCAGTGGTTCTTAACCGGTGTTCCGTGGAYTTGGTATAAGTGTTCCACCAAAATTTTAAAATCAGTGAAAAAAAATTCTTTCAAAATAGAACCAAATTAGGTTTTGTTGGTTTATTTTTGTACACAAAAACGTTATCGTTAACTTTTCGAATTATATAATGTGTCAGTATACTATATATAATTTATTAATTTATTAATATACATTATTATTATTATTATATTATACGATAACCGTCACCACTACTAAATTTCTGAAAAAGCAATTTCAATTTTCAACCTCATACTTGTGTGAGCTTGGATTTTCAACATTGACGAATATCAAAACAAAGATACGAGAAAGGCTGACAAATATTGAAGAGGAAATGAGAGTAGCAATATCGTACATACGGCCAGATATTGAAAATATCTGTAAAAATCATCAGCACAAATATCTCATACAAAGTATTCAATTTAAAATTTTTTTTTAACTCTTTATTATTTTACTATTTTTTAGCAAACAGTTTTATGCTATACATTCATTGTTTAATATATTAAAAAATTAAWAATGTATGTACTACTATTTTATTTTACAGTTGTGTTCCGCGAAAATCTTATAAAATGTAAAGTGTTCCGTCATTAGAAAAAGGTTAAGAACCACTGCCGTTAGGTATTCGTGTGAAATTCTCTAGACTCTAATTAGATATTTTAAGAATAATGTTTGGTAAAATACGTGCAGTAAAATTAATGATATAAGATAGGTATAATAGAGGGTGCTCTATAAACATAATGGAGCACCTACCTCCGWTATTCAATTGTCGTCATCTGAACAAAAAAAAAAAAAATGAAGTTCTTACAAATTTATAGTGACGTGCATGATGATTCATTGGCAATAAGATTTTTGCAAAACGAAAATATTATCCATAATAAGACTCGGACTTGTGACAGATTTTTTAATATATTTTTATTTTTATCGCTTGAATTGTTCTGTATAATCATAAACAGTGGCGCCGAAGTCCTAAAAATCTAGTAGGGCGAAAAATATTTCAAGAGGCTCAACATCTTAATATCGGAAAAAATGGCATACCGTGGAGAGGAAAATGGTCAATATGAAGCGGCCCTATCTTAAATTTTCAAAATATGTCGGGCCATGCCCCGACCTTAACTTAGGGTTCGGCGCCACTGATCATAAATGTATAATGTATTATTCATACATTTTTAAATAAATTATTGATTATTGATTATAATACGAGAGATGTTAGTGGTGGCCGCCCGGGCGTCAACAAAACCTGAATGGCGGGGGAATTGCTTTCTGGGTACAGGTCAACTAGACCAGTMCCTATTTTTTATTTTATAAAAGTAGACAAACTCATGAAGAATTTTGTATTGAATTTCAACTCTTAGATTTAAAAGTATAAATTTAAGAAAAATAAATTTCAAATTTTCGTGATTTTTACGTATTTTGTCAAAATTTAAGTTTTCAATGCTTATTAGAATAAATTGTGACTTTATATTTTTTAAGTATCGTTGTAACAATATAATAGGAGCTATGCGTATTACATTTTGAAACTTATTTACCCAACAAATAAAATTTTCTTGTAATTTATAAAAAAAAAACTAAAAAGATTAAAAATGTTATCAAAATGCCAGTTTATTTATATATATATATTTATACTATATATTTTTATATATATTTTTCGGAACACTATGAAATACATTTTCAATTATAATGAAACATTTTAGATTCTGAGCGGAGCGATGAATATGGGCGTAACCGTTTTCCGCCAAATTGACCCTAGCTCGTTATCACCATGGCCGTTTTCCGCCAAAGGTTATATTTCC